ACAAAAAAAAAAAAAAAAAAAAAAAAAAAAAAAAATATATATATATATATATATATATAGCCTACTGGCATGCGGATGATCACAGACAAATTGTGAATCTCCTCAGACTCCAAAGAACGTGGCAGAGCGGTGAGAGAGCTGAACAACTTGAGAATACTTTATAGTCGAGGTAGCTGGCAAAAGGCAACCAAACAAAGTCCTTTTAATGGGAGGGGGGGGGAGTCTTCTTGGGTCACCCGGCTTTAACAGAAGGGGTTTCTGGGGGGGGTGGCAGGTCTACCTCCACACGGGACAGTTTATACCTCGAGTCTGAAGCAGCTTGAGTCACCCCTAGATATTCATATATGTTTTTTTTTTTTTAAAGAAGAACCACAACATGTTCAAAAAAAAGCATCTTCTCAATGTACCTTCATAAATAAAATGAAAAAACAAAACAAACCCAGCCTGCTTTCACAGTGATGACTAGGATGTTAATAAAATACTGAAAGGAGATTATAAAGTGAATTCCAAATGCGACTTTTTTTTTTTGATACAAAGCGAAAGCAGCGGTTTTTTTGTTTTTTTTTAACGCAATGACCATCAGCAAAAGTGGTCGCAACTGGCCTGAAAAGTTGGACGCCAGCATGGTGAGAACTGCACGAGCGCATTCAGCTACTGTCTCTTGTTTTCTCTTAAAAAAAAAAACACAAAGTAAAGCTATTGTGTACAGTACTTTACAACAACGATGGAGCCACTTGTTGTTACATAATGATTACACATGTGAAAGCGTGTTGGATAGCCATAATGCCGCTCTTTGAGTAAAGAAACTAAAAAAAAACAAAAAACTAAACCTCTGGTAGCCAACAGAGGGCAACCCTTCTTCTCTTGTTCGTGTGTCTTCCCTTTCAGATATTCCAGCATGCAGCCATTTAGCATCAAGTGCCGTGTTTCATATAAAAATAACTTAAAACGGGTGAACAATGAGGAGCAACAACCCCCCCCCCCCCCTCCTCCCCAGGAAGAAACTATTCAACTGTATACTGGAGATGGAAGGTCATGGATAGAGATAAACTGGGCCATCTGCACTTCTGGAGTCCAAACACACGCACGCACACGCACGCACGCACACACACACACACACACACACACACACACACACACACACACACACACACACACACACACACACACACATGTGATACACAGACACTGGCTTCTTTTGTATTGGACGACAAGATGTAATATACACATTCAAGAGGAAAGCTTTAGTACCAACAAACTCACCGAAATGGCGTTTCTTTTGTTAAAGAGTCGTGTTGAAGCGCTGTGTATGAGCCATGCGATACTTCACTCAGGAGTGCAGAGAGGACCCCGTTTGGTTTACAATGAGGGAAGATTATTCTGCAGGTCTAGTTTTATTTCTTTTATATATATATGTGTATATATATATATAAAATTTGGCACAACTATATAGATGATGGCAGTTTTTTTTTTTTTGCTTTTACAAGAGCCTGGCTTTCCCGTGTGTTGCAGCTTTATTTTCCACTTGTTATTTTTTTTATTTTCTTATTTTACCTGACAGCAGAGACAGATCACCGGGCGCCAGATGAGTACTTGGCCTTGGTGATGAGGTATAGCACAATGTCTTGGTGGCCACCGAAGGCGGCGATGTGTAAAGCGCTCCACCCTTCCCTGTTGGCCAGTCGAATGTCTGCGCCAAACTTCACCAGCAGTTTTACCAGCTCCAGGTTGCCGTCAATGACAGACTGGTGGAGGGCCGTCTGTCCCTCCGGCCCGAAGGAGTTGACGTTGAACTCGCAGTTCGTCATGTTCTGCAGCAACGAGTGCAGCTCCTTGGTGTTGCCCTTCTTCACCGCCTCCTGGAAAACCCGCTGCGGCGCGGAGCAAGTCGACACATCCGCCTGGCTCATGGTGGCAGCTCGCTGGAGGTTGGGGAACCAGTAATCCTGCCCGGGCTCTAAAGCTGATAATACTCGTCTTCTCCCTGTTGAGCGTCTCTGGTCTGGTGACAATGCCACAGTTACACTGGATTATAACCAGTTATTAAGGCACTTTTTATAAAGTACTAAAATAGAAAAAAAAGATCACTGTATATATCCCAAAAAGGACAAGAGAGGAAATAACACACTTGGTGTGCAAAAAATGTTAATATTTGTAGAGATCCTAAAATCCCTAAAACATAAAAAAGGATGCTCTCAAGCGATCCAGGGGTCTCTGGACGTAGTTCCTCCTCCGTAGCAGCAGCAGGTAGCCTGAAGCAGGGGATGGAGAAGAGAGACACCTCCGACTTCACTTGGGGGGGAAATTGGTAGAATGACCACTATCTCCACGGGACAGTCTCCGCAGGTTTTCCTTGAACGGTCCGACCCGAGTCCTGGTCAACACGGCCCGGCTATGTGTCGCTGCTCATGTGGCCAGGGTGTCTGGGAAATACAAAAAAAAGAGACAAGAGAAGTCCACATGAATCCCGATTCCTCACCAACTGACTGCGAGAGACCCCACATTCCGCCACATCCAAAAGGGTGAGCGAGACCTCCATGCGCACACGTTTACGCACGGTTACACGGCTTTGCCACTAAACATGTCTGGAAGTGTAATCCGCTGCACATTTGTGACTTACCTGTGACAGATGGACGAGTCCGTAGCGACGAAAACAATACAAATCCACCGTGTGGCCCCGGTCTGTGTCCTCCGCGCGGTCCGTGTGAGTCTCTGCCCTGCGCTGCGCTCTGGGAGAATATTTTACGCGTCCTTTATTTGCATGACAATACCATCCCAAAAGAATCAACTGTGGAGGAATGGGCGGAAACCCGGGGAGGTTATAGGCTGCCGGCTCGATTAGGAGGGGGCGGGATCAGTAGCCCTGTGAATCCGCGGGGAGGGAGGCGTGGTCTGCCGAGGAGGGAGCCAAACGTTGCTTCAGAAATATTAAACAAGCCGCCCGCAGCAATGGTGAGCTCCATATCCGATCTCCTGTAGCCGACCCCAGGAAGCGGACTGAAAGCCAGAGGCACGGAGCTGACAGAGCTGTAAACTGCTGAGAAAGCGGGGCACGTTGTAAAGGATCATCCACTGGATTTAACATCAACAGGAACTCCGAACAAAAAACGCCAATAAGCCTCTTCACATTGACAGCGATGTAAATGACTAGGGGGCGTCGGACAGGATTTCCATTCATGCAAAGAAAAAAGTCGAATGAAACAAAGTTACATGGCAACTTTGAATTTTATACGCAAAATCAATGTGGCTGTACACTGTTTAAATTTGACTTTCAGGTGAAAATTCAAGAAAAAGGAAATAAAAGTAATCAGCTGGTGGACTAAAGGTTGAACATATTATTAGTCAAATGGTTTATTAATGTCTATTTTTAAATAAAGGAGTATCTGGACTCGTTCCACGTTACATGGGGGCAGAAAAGGTGCTGATAATGAAATGCCAAGAGAGGGTGTGGTTTACATCTGTGCTGCTGTTTGTGGCCCAACTTTCTCTGTGGGCACTGCCAGTGAACGTCGCAGTGAATTTGTGCAATCATTTGTGAAATAAAAAAAAGGAGCACAATGCCGTGAACAGATGTGCCAGGGCCATTTCAAATCCAGAGATGCAGTTCAAAGTTGTATTCTCCAAATGGCTGAGGCTCGAGGGAGACATACATGTCGTTTCAACAGTGGCTGTCTGAAGTGTGAACTTATCTAAAACCTCAAAGTGATTACCTCCGAACCAAACGGCGAGGACAGTAAAGTACAACCCCCCTCCTCCAAAACGAGTCCATCTGAAAACACCTCGCGAGGAGGAGATTATAGGTGGCTGTTTGAATCATAAACTGCGGATATATTCCAGTTGTTTTAGACTGTGGGACTTCGAATAACAAAAGCCCCTCGCTACTTCCTTTTTGCAAGTGAAAAGAAGTGACGCTGTGTGCGGATTGACACGCCACTCAGCTCAGCCCCCCCATCACCGTGGGAACTGAGTGTGTGTGTGTGTGTGTGTGTGTGTGTGTGTGTGTGTGTGTGTGAGAGAGAGAGAGAGAGAGAGAGAAACAGGGTAAGAGGTGATGATAGATATTGATAGATACACAGGGTTTGACAGAAAGAATGCATGTGAAAGCGACAGCGCCGGATAGAGAAAGAGATAGAAATGCGTGGAAACCACACCAGGTATACACCCTCCATCTCAGCCTCCCTCGGGGCTGTCTGCTCCGTTTCGGCGGCCCACGATGCATCTCATCTGTGTGACACTTTATAAAACCGCTCTCCGCTCTGATGGTTCGGTAGCTTTCACACTGTCCTCGTTTTCCCACACTCTGAACTGTACATGTGGCGCGCGTCTGCAGCCATATCTGTCTATACGCGAGCGTGTCATTTGGGCGTCTGTGCGTCAGCGTGGGAGAGGCAGCGGCAGAGATCCCACATATGGAGGTCGCAATCTGCTTATTTAAGTCCAAAAACAAACAAACAAGATGTCAACTACTGGCTGACTGAAAACATGACTGACATTCTGTCAACACATTTGGAGTGCATTATCATGGTCATAGACGTTCGTTTTAGACTTTGACTGACAGGTGTCCATTAAAGTCACACGTGTTACCTAAAACTAGGTCAAGTAGTCAACCGCACTTCTACTGTACTATCAATGCAAGCTATAGTTCACACAACCACAGGTAATCCCATGACGGGATTTATGCTTCAAGTTATGGAGCTTGGTGCAGCACTTCAAAGTGTCCCAGTATAGAAAATAACAGATTTGCAGCAATTTAACTCTTAAAAAAATCAAATCTATTTTTTTAATAGAATGACAAAGTGATCATGTAAATCTAACTGGATTGCTTGGGTCCAATATTTTAAACAGGACACCCTGGGGTGCATTATCAAGGTATGACCACAAAAGCTAAGTTTGATCCACTTTTTTAAAGTTTGTATAGTTTCAGGATAGAGAGTGCTGTATAATGTACAAAGCTGTAAACCCTTCTCGGCAAGTCTGTGATTTTGGGCGATATAAATATTTGACCTTACTTGGGTTTAACATATGATAAGGCGAGTGAACTATTAGTGTAACAGTGTGTTGCTGTTGGCCTGAATCATGTTTAAACCCAGTATGGAATGTGAACAGACACCTGCCAGCCAATAAGAAACAAGTATTTCTGCTGGCCTGATTGAAATTCAGATATTTGACTTTGGGACTTAAATGATGGATAGCCAGAAGAGTGTGTGTGCAGGAGACTGTGATTCAGCTGTTTTCGAAACTTTTAGGTGCATCAGCGGGTGTTTTTTCCTCTGCAACAAGCCCGCAGCTGCACCAATACAAAGAGGCTGGCTCTGACTCACTCCTAGAAATATCTTGAATATAAGTCAACCCTTGTAAGATAGGATACAGATGTGTGTTCCTCGCTGCAGTCTTTATATGACACAGCATTAACCTGCGTGGCCATACTGGAGTCCAAAACACACATATATATGTGAGTGTATGTGTTTTCTGAGGGTTACTGAATGGTGCGGAACATCTTCTGGAAAATCAGGAACATCTGTCCGCTCTCAAAGCTTTTGGCTGCAGTGCGTCTGGACACTTGGAAAACATTTGCACAGACCGCAGGAGCCAAAAGTTTCTCTGATTGGATGAGTTTCTCCCCAAAAACTCTGTGGCATTTGATCTTCTCTCTGCCCTCCCCACCACTTCGCTCCCCAGGTCTTTATTGGTAATGTGTGTCTGGGAAGCAGCCAAAACCAGATGCAATCATGCGGCTCTTGTGAAGATACTTCTAGTAGTGATTAAATACTTCAAACAATTATTTTGCAATGTCATATTTTCTCTTTGACATGCCCAATTAAGCAAAACAATTTAGTTAAAATGACCAACGACGCATTATATGCGTGCGTAAAAGCGCAAACCAGTGAGAATTTGCAATAAACGATCTCCAAAAATATTATGGACAACCTTTAGCGAGCACAGTCCGGTTTTGTGTAGTCAGTCCGAGGGGTCGCCTCGGCACGGAGGCTGTGCTGGGGGGGCCAACTCTCCACACACTGGTCACACAAAGATAAAACAAGTAATAACGTTACTCTGCTTCTATTTATGCAGCCATATCTCAGTTCCTGTGTGTCGATAAACAAGACGCATTTCAGCGACACACGAGAGAACCCAGAGCCGTGCAGTGTTGGTGTGGCTGTCTTGTAAACGGACAGATCGGGGACAGAGAAGCCGGGAGGAGCCTCACGTCCCGTCCGGGGATGTGGTGCGCACGCACGTCGCCGAGAGTCCAGATCGGGAAACTTACACACTGGGATACACGAAAGAAACCTCGTCATATATTTAAAAAAAGCCGATTTTTTAATATATGATAAAGCTTCTTTGGCAATATTGTTATTTTACATTTTCAGAGAGATATGGAGAGAGGGAAAGAGAGAGAGACGTTTCACCGGGAGGGAGGGTCTTCTGAATCCAATTCATTCCGGGCACCACGTGTCCTCAGAGCGTGGGAAAGAGGCGAGCTTTTCTTCCCAGCAAAGAAAGAGCAAGGATCAAATAACACGGTGCTGCAGCAGAAAGCTCGCGCTCTGCGCAGAGGCAGGGGCTGCGACCACCCGGACAAGGACAGGAGAAGACACACAGAGAGCGGCTTATTTGGGAGCCAGGGTGTCGACTTCACCCGTAGCAATAACGATACTTCAGGGTAGATTAATGTTACTGTGGTTATTATAGTCTGCTGAAGAAAAAAGGGCAATATGCCAAGACGTTTCTACTCCTGGATTTTGGAAGTGCAATCGTGTATAGTCCTAAAATAATATCATCAGGCTTGTGGTTCAACGGTCATTTTGCTGATAGAGATTTATTTTCCTCTAGTGTAACGTCCAACTGATAAGAATCAGGCGTCTCCCTACAGATGGATCTCAACGGCCTTCTCCTGCTGGCAAAATCACTCATGTTTATCAACATTTTTACACACCTGACAGGAGGTTGAGATCAATTAATATACAGTCAGAAATCAGTATAAATGCATGAATAAAGAAGTTAAGGATAAATGAATCGCCGTATTAAATGGAAATGAATATTTTCGATAACAAAAGTGAGTGTCGTCAAAGTAAAGTGTGTCCAAGGCACTTCTTTGTATTTGGGGCTAGGAAGTGATACCATCAACCTTATACATGACTATATAGGGTATATATTGGGGGAAAAAACTATTATCACAAACCTTCAAAATTCACAACAGGATTATCCTAAATATCCTAAAGTCAAACATTTACAGTGTATCATTACAGGATGCTGCGCAGTAAGTCATGTCTGAGACGGACCGTAATCCACATGATCTCCTCCGTCCAACGCGGGTTCTTGTTAATGAGAAGCAGGTTCAGATCAATGGACAGCGAACTTCACATATTAAGCCACGGAGACCCAATTTGGTTCACATTATTCGTCAGAAGTGACCGTACTCATGAAGTCCTCAGCGATAACGGCATTATTAACGTTACTTACTGCAACAAAAAAAGCCCCAAAACCTTCATTTTGTAACACACCCAAGGTTATGCAGTTTGGTAAATGGTGTTCCATTACTCACATGTGGAGGTCCTGACCTGCTCTTCACACGTGTGATGTAGAAAATTGTCCACTTCTTCCAAAAATCATTTAGTTAGATAACACCTCATTCCAAAGTCACTCCTATTTCCACAACTTGCTTTGATTAAGATTTGGCAGCAGCCGAGTGAGTTCCCTGTAAAGCGACAGCTTGGGAAGTTAGTGATCCAAGAATTTCAGCTTTAACACATTAAAGACTTTACATCTGTGAACTCCATCTAGTTCTTCATGGTAATCAGGTTATCGTGTGCACGCTCTGGAGGAAAGCTTTCACTTTAAACGTTGTGAGGAAATGTTAATCATTGTCCGGGGTCACTGAATCACCCTGAGGTTCAACTCTCTTCACTTCCTTCTGTGATTCAAACACACTGAAAACACATTTACCTCAGTGAGTCACAGTATGACCCCGTCTTTGGAAGTCACTGTGGCTTTTTTTTGGATGCAAGTTACGTGATCAATTAAATAAAGTGAAAACATGGCTGTGGTCTCTGACGATTTCACGAGTGTAAACAGATCAGCCTTCCAATGGAATCTCAACAAAATGCCTGCTATGCACAAAACACCAAACATATTTAATTGCACAACTTTTCACACATTAGATCTGTTCAAACTCGTCTGGGGAATCTAATGTTCAGCAACAACACAAATCCAATGTGGGGTGCAGAGGAGAGGAGAGTTGGAAAGAAGAAGGTATGAGAAAATGTGAAGGGATTCAGGCGGTGTGTGTGTGTGTGTGTGTGTGTGCGCGTTGGGCTACTCTGTGACCCGTCTGCTCTTCAGCCTCGGGGCACAACCCCCCCCACACTGTTAGTGTTACACCTGACAGACATCAGAGAAGCTTAGATGATCCGTTGATGATCATGCTGTCCGCTCTTAATCCTTCACCATCTGTCCTGTGAACGTTCCAAACACGTCATAAATTAACTCTACGCAGACAGAAACAACCGTGACTTCTCAGATTAAAAACATGAAATTAAAAGCACTTTATTCACGCATATTGAGCTTCCAGCTAAATAATTAAAAATGATACAGATTTAATCACAAAGAATGGAAATATACAGCACCACCGACTGCTAAAAAAAGGCCACAGAACTTAGCCCCGTCATTTAACCGCTTAACTCTGAAATCAAAACAATAAAATATCGGAAACAAATAAAATAGCAACAAACTTTATAGTTTGATTGATAAGGAATAATTAAAATGGTCTCAATATACAATTTTAAACCATAAATCACCATAAATGTGGTAGAACAGTAAATACAATCAACAACAAAAATGACCGAGTCACAACTGGATCACAGCTGACCGGTCTTTGGTTCGCTGAGCTTTGAACTTATGAACGTAAAAGGTTTTAAAACTGTTGAGACGAGATGTGTCGGATTTTTTTTTTTTGGTATGACAAATTTTAAAACCAGATGGTGAACAGGAAATTCAATTATTTCAAAGGACTTGAAGTTTGGGTCTCACTTGTGATGTCAGGTGAATTCTTAATGCCTCTTTTATTTTTACACTTTTAGCCAATTAGAAAAGGGAAAAAACTAATAATCTAATTGGATTTCATGACAACTCCAGTTCTAAATGTGTAAATTATTACTACGGATGTACTTGAGGGTCAGGTAAAGTGCAGTAGCTATACAAATGTCAATTCTGCGGTGCAGCCGCAGCCGATTCAGGGTCCTTGTCTGTTATGTGTAAGACATCCTGAAACATGGAGAGGACGCGGCCAAAGTGAGAGCCTTCCCAGAACACCTTGCCACATCTGGTGCAGACATAGAAGAGCGGTATCCTCGGCAGGAGGGCAGGGGGCACGGCGTGGAGCTGGACGGGTGCCCCCCCGGGAAAGGTCAGGGTGTCGGGGTCCAGCTCTGAGAGGGGGGCCCACTGACACTGAACATACCTGGGGATTTCAGGGGTCACACTTGGGGTCAGAATGTCTCCAAGCGTCTCCTCTTCCTGTTGTTGTGTGTGGTCAATGACGTCCTGGCCCTGCAGAAATCCTGCAAACAAAATACAGACATTTAATGAGTTAACTTCAAAACTACGTTAAACAGAAGCGAAGAAGTAAAGATAGATACATCCTGGCACAAGGAATCCGCTGATGCTCCACTGACCTTTCTGCTTAAGCATCCTGGCCATGTCCTTTCTGGGCACCGCCGCGTACTGATCACTGTTACACGCCTGCACAAACGCATAAAAACAGTCATTAGCAGCAGGGCTGAAAGAAGCGTTTTCAAGAGCTTCCACTCATCAAAAGTGTCTTGAAGAGGAAAAACATGACGAAGAGGAAAAAGAGGAAATACGTTCCACATACTGCAGGAAAACATTGAGGTAAAAATGATCTCACAGTGGATGAAGAGTGGACGTTGAACACAAGTAACTGTTTACCTGCATTCAACCACAGCCTGCTCGAACGTGATTGGTGGTTAATACTACCCGGACTACATACGGAAACCAGAACGCTTCCAATACCAAAATCCTGTCCCGTTGCCTACAGATCCTGTATATGAATGCAGCATTGAGTGTGAAACTGTAGGTTAACTTTAGTAATGCTGTGGTGACAACAGTCACCAGAGTTCACCTGTCAAAAGTCGAAAGGTGTCGCACCTTTGTTAAAACCAGGAGTAGCTCAGGATCTTAAGAGCACGCAAACGTGTGTCGTTGACCCATTCACACAGACACTTTCCTCAGTGGCTGCTTTGGTGTGAAAGGGGCTAAGTGGTACAGAAAGATCAGATCAGAGTGTGTCTGTGTGTGTGTGTGTGTGTGTGTGTGTGTGTGTGTGTGTGTGTGGACAGCGTTTACGCCTCAGTAACGTTCACATGTCCATGCTGTCCTGGCTCTCCATGGTAAAAGGTCTCCCTGGTGGGACATTAGTGACCTCTTGTTTGCCGGCCCCCTAACGCGCACACACACACACACACACTGGTCTGTAAGCCATCCTGACAGCATGTCGGTGCTAAAAGCCTTGTCAACACACCTGAGCTCCACCCAGCAAACAGCATTCCACTTAGAGGTGGGCTGTAAATCAAACCACGCTTGCAGAGACCTCAGAGCAAGATCCCTGACCGGCTCACTTAAAGACACTTCTCTCTCTCTCTCTTTCTTTCTTTATCCGGGAAAACTGAAACGAAGACTGCATATCGGGCGCTTACACCCACCGAACGCAACAGTATGTCCTTCCTCTGTGTGCACATGCAGAGAGGGGTGTTTGTGTCTGTGGTAACTGAGGTCGGGACAGGAGAGAGCGGCTAGACAGTGGAGGTGTGGGAAAAGCAGAGGTGTCATCTCCTGTCGTCTGTGGGAATGAAGTTCATCTCTCTGTCAGTGCACTCTGTATTTTCCTCCTTGTATTCCCCACACGCACACACACGCGCACACACACACACACACACAATTCGCACAGGCTACACTGCAGTGCGCATAGACCGCATGCATATACTCGTATGCGGCGCATACACATGGCTCACACGTAGAAGTGTGGCGACAGCCAGGAAAACAGACCCAGCTATTTGCTTAGCTCAAAGTTTCCCAGAGCAGAGCAAGCCAGAACCTGCTCTGAACTCTCAAGGCTAAGCTGCGGACAGGCAGGCACACACGCACACAGAGTATCGCACACACGCAACCTGGACGGAAGCAACTCCATCGACAATTAATCAAAACACGGCGCGCGTTTAAAAAAATGTAAAGATTTTTTTTTTTTTTAACAAAGTGAAATCGTGCAACGTTATAAAATACATAATGACAAACATCGCAGTGATATTAACACACATTATAGTGATATAAAAGATATGCATTCATGGAAATGGATGTGACACAACGAGCCTGCACGGTGATGAGGTTTAAGGGTGTCTTATATTTTAATAAATAGCTCTGCGCCTTCATTTAAGATCTGAAAACCACGTTGAACCAGGTGATTTCTGGGATATTTCTCCGTTTCTGGCTTGCTGAAGGATGTGACTTTTCCACAGCACTACATAACTCCTGGAGCTGTCAGTCACGCAGTTGCCGCAAGGAGCTGAAGAAGAACAAATGTATGACGGCGCCTCCTCTGCAGCCCCCGCATGTCACAGAAAGCATTCGACTGACAAGTGATGTGAAAACCAATCGTAGTTTGGAGTGTTTGCACAGGCAAACGATCATGTGTGTGATCAACATGTGGCTTCAGTCAGCAGTCTGGACTTTAAAAAATTTTTTTTTCCAGAACTGATGCTCCAAGATTTGTTTTTTATGTTGTGGCCTTAAGATCAAAAGGCCACCAAAAACAGTTTATCTTATTCTTTTTGTTATCATACTCGATATAATTTTAGGCAGTTGCTACATTGCTGCATTTTCGGAGTCTTTTGTTTGGTCTGTTTTTCAGGGAACCTCCTGCATTCTCACACTCCGTGTGGCCGCGCCAGGGAAAGAATGCTCCTTGCCGTGACAACAAAAGGCTATCTAAAGTGTGATACCGTGTTTCAAAGGATGGGAGGTGGTGGAGGAAAAAAAAAAAAAAAAAGGAGAAAAAAGGGAGGATAGAGGGGAGGAGGTAGGAAAGAGAGGGAGGGGGAAAGAAGGGGGGGGGGGTGGTGGTAGATTTTTCCCTAACGTTCTCTCACACACACACACACACGCACACACACTGCCTCTGTAGGCAGCTCCCATGGGAAAATCCTCGACCAATCTCAAAAGGCGGTGCTTTTCGGGCCGATGTAGGTCACATGGTCCGAGCAGCCAATTGGGCACAAGTGATTTGATTCAAATTGTGGCAAGTCAGGTAAGGGGCAGCGTGGGAACCGGAGAGAAGGGGAGGAAAGAACTGCACCGTCATTTACCTTTGAAAATGTTGTCTTTTCAGTCATTTAATTCCACCGTTCAAGGCTTGCTGTGGTCCAAGAAATATACACAATACGTGAGAAAATGACATATTTTTCTAGAAACTTCAGTTTACACCAGAGATCCATTGTTTGCTCCCATTCATCGCATGGTGTTGGACATTCTGCCATATTTGGTTCCCCGTCATTCCGTCATAACATATTGTTGCCACTGTGAAATGATGTAGGTCCTCTGTAAGCGGGATGGCACGCTGAGCTGGAAAAAGCAGCCTCATACTCCTGTAAAATGATGAGTCAGGAGAAGCTAACTGGCTTTCTTTCCTCTGCTTTTTCCCCACACAGTCCCGAGGTCATGCTAGGTGACTTTGGATACCCTTCAACAGCAATTGACAATCTCACACATGGATTTTTACTCACGTAGATTTAAACTGTGGAAAGGTGACCTGTTTTCATTTTCTTTGGCCGGGCAGACGGACAGGGAAAAAAAAAAAAAAAAAGAGCAGAAAGAGTGGAAACATCTTGCTTCATTTAACACTCTTCCACTGAAAACGCTGACATCGCGTCAGTGTCAATCATTAAATCAAGAATAAAGCCTGAATACCAGTCTGCAATCTGCAAGGTAATACTGGTGACCAAAGAGGTGAGAGCGAGTCATGAAATGATAAGATGAGGGTGCATGGGTAAAGAATTTAGTGAATTCAGATGAGCTATATGAATTAACACACATTATATCACCAAGAAAGAAGCGAGGTTAAGTAGTTTGGTTCACCCTGCATATACTGTCTCGAGGAGGGAAATACTGCAGTGACCTACTAAACACATGTACTTTCCCACAGTGTCCTGAGGGTATCTGGCCAGTGTCTCAGCCCTGACAGTCTGAGGTAATTACCTGCTCTGTTAACTAACCATTACCAGCTGAGAGCAACCTGAACTTGGACCACAGCAGAGCCTGTCTGGGCTTGACATCACATACACACACACCCCTTCCTCTGACTCACTTCACAAACATATACACTCACACTTACTTCGCAGGCATGCAGAAGATGTAAAAGCTCACATTGAACTCTCTCACACTCACACACATACACACACTTCCCCTGACTCCCGTTGCACCCACTCATCTCACCTGCAACTCGCATTATGTCCTCTCAGATTTTCCCAGGGTTGCGTCCATTTGTCTTCCATAAAATATGACACTTTATTTTGTGTGTAAAGGCCTCGTATGTAAACAATATGTACATTGGTATGCATAAGGACGACATTAAAAATCCAGTGAACTTCGAGTCACCCGAGACAGATGTGTTATGGTTTCTATGTCACGTTGCTTTATTATTTCAACACTACCTAATTGACCCTTGCGCTCTACTCTTATTTTTCTCGGAGGGTTGAAGGGGTGCGAGCCCGTCCGCCGAGTGCGCCAACATCCATTTCTTATTGGCAACAATGACCATGAATAGATTCCCTGATTTTTCTTTATGAACAATCATGTTTAGAGTTTAAATCCATTTCTTTTATCTTCTCAATAAAATCATACATGTCCTAAATGTATGAAATGCAGCATCTACTATACAGTAAGACTGTCATCACTGAAGTGGTTGTATTATGTCTTTTTTTTAATTTAAAGACAATTACATGGTTGAGTTAATTATAAGACAAATCTCTTTAGTTTGTATCTATTTTACTGCAAAAAGGGTGAATTTAATAGGTTATTGTAGTGACAACATTCAGGTCATGGTAGGTAAAATTACACGTGAAATGTATTATATAACGCAATCTATATACAACACAAGATGAGGCACAGCATTCATTTCTCTGCCCTTCAGAACATGCTATGTCAGCCTGTTTAACTCTTGCTCAATCCCGTTTTGTCAATTTTTCTTTTCCACTTTCGCCCCATTTTCTCACCCTTCACTTGGCCCCAACAGTTTTGCCTTTTCTTTCACCCCACAGTTCCCTCTTCATTGGCGCTCACTAAAAGGGGGTAATGAAGAAGATAATGGTCTAGAGTCGAGCAGATAACAGTCTAGCCGTCACACAAATAGCACTAATGCTTTCCCTCGGCTTGGCACAGTCAGTTCATTCTGTTTTTCACCCACTCAACCTTCAACCTCGATCTCTATCTCTCTCTCTCTCTCTCCCCCAACCCCACCTATGTCTTCTCTCTCTCGCTCCGTGTCTTGCTCGCTCCATCCTCCCCCTTCCAGTGTTCCCTTCAATCTCCTTCTCTCGACTCGTCTCTCACCTCTAACCTCCTTCTTTCTCTCCATCTCCAAGTACTCTTTTTTTCTCTCTCTCTCTCTCTCTCTCTCTCTCTTCAGACGCCGGAGAGCTGGGGCCGGTCTAAGCCAAAAACCGCCGGGGGAG